GTATTGAAAACCTATCAAGTGAATCTGCCAATCTCAATTCACCGGTCCCGTAATACATTTATCAGATTGTATAGATTTCTTTTTTTCTGTTGAGACCCCCTTTTCTTTAATTAATCCTGAGATATTTGCAGGGGTTCACAGATTTTGAGACTGTAAAACTCAAATAGACAATCCATGTTGTTTGCTGCATAGCCCAACATCCTAAATGTAACATCAATTAATCATTAAGCAAAACTATTAAAATATTCTCTGGCTTCAGCTTCTCAATTATTACAATTTGCTGCTTTTCTTTGCTTCACACAACAATGTGAATTTTGGACCGTAGAGCGGGTATAAAAAAAGTAACGTGCAATGTTTTTAAAGAAATACTTAATGATAAACGTGAAGCTCTCATGTACATGAAGTAGTGTTCTGTTGATCATTACATGCTGCAGGAGAAAAGTTCAAAGTACAGAGAAATGGATTGTAAAACTAACACTAAAAAGGCCAGTTAAGATTCTCAAAAACACTAGCAAACAATTGAATGTTTTAGGTAATAGTTTACATGCTTCTTTGACACTAGTCAGAGCATTTTTTAAGCAATATTTCACAGTCCGAGTTCGTAGGCTGCAAAAGATACAAGACAAGAAACTTGTTTTCATCCACAAATGTGTCCGTTAAATGATGCTTCTGCTTTGTTTGCAAGGAAATATTGTTTAATCCTGAAGTTATATTGAATATTTTAAATGGTGTGTTAAATCATCAATATTTACTTTGTCATGATTGCCCCTGTCAAAGTAGAAAGAATGGCCACTTTCCATAAAAACAGTCAGTGATGGAATATGTTCAATATGCATGATGTACATACATAACATAAATGTCATAATCCTGATAAATGATATTTTGACTTAATAAAGAAAACTACAAAATTAAGATTGTAAGTCTGTTTTTTAATTCCTTGATAAGGATTTGGTTTTACATGTTACATATAGTGATGTCAATTGCAATGATGTTGCATTTAAAGCATTGTAATTATTGTTTAACCAGATTTTAAACTAGAAAATAATTATCCCAAATAGATTAAGATTTAATGAAACATTTTAAATGTTATTACGAACCTAAATAAACTTTAAATTGGTAGAAAGAAACACATTAACTTTCTGTATTATTATATATATATATGTGTGTATTTCTGTAACATGTTAAATGGTAAATGTAAATCCATTGGTTGATTGTAATTTATTATATAAATTGAACTCATTTGTACATCTCAACAAGTTGTTGAATCATAACAAATTATTATAATAGTAATACATTGTATTTACAAGAACACATCATTAAACAATATATAAAACTACACTCTTAAAATATATCAAACTCAACATTAATTACAGATTAAAAGCAGTTCTGAAAAGTGAGTTTAGATTTGTGTTTGAACATGGAAAGATTGCTGCAGTCACAGATGAGTTAACATACAGTTCAACACTGTGTGTCTTAATGTTTTGGGCCTTTGTAGGACCACTTTGATTGGTCAATGTAATGGCAGTGGCTGAATGGGTAAAACCTAGAGACATATTGTTGAAATTCTACTTAATTCTAGACATCGGTGACTGTGTATTATCTCTTTTGTAAAAAAATAAGCTCTTGAAAGCTACTTCTTTACACAACAAGAATTGGTTTCAGTTATCTCACCCAGTTGCGATCAAATGTGGATGTTTGTTTCCCATTAAGTACAATGATTTTGACGCCATTTATTATGACATTGCTGCTGTTGTCGTTTTTTCCTCTCATAAAACAAAACAAAAAAGATATGTCAGAAGTGGGATTTGAACCCACGCCTCCATTCGGAGACCAGAAATCCCGTTTCAAGCGGAAGGAGCTTAATCCTTGAGTCTGGCGCCTTAGACCACTCGGCCATCCTGACGATGTTAAAAAGCGACTTCCAGTACAATTTTATTCAATATACAAACCCATATAGAAGTCAAAATGTTGTTGTATTTACCAAATAAATAAATATATATTACTCCGTGTACGTGTTTCATTGTATTTATATGTGTTAAACTGTGTGAATGACTTGTTTGCCCACTTTTCAGCGTAAAATGTACCTCGGCGGATGCTAACACTGGCAAAACGTAATTTCCGCTGTGTGTACGTGCGGCGGCCATATTACACTCCGTTCTTCAAGGGTATCCGAGGCTAAAGTAACCAGGCTAGACAACATGTTCCGGTTTGCTAAAGCTGCACTCAACCTCACCGGTAAGAAAACCAGTGTTTGTAGGAATGTATGTTAGATGTGTGTATTGATGCCAAGTGACATTTTAATATCGACCATAAGTTTGACCGTCCTGTCTTTGGTGGTTCACCGCGGTCAGCGTGCTAACGTTGCTGGCCAAGCTAACATTAGCATCTCCTGCAGTCGTTTTACTTGTCTTGTCTTTACTGAATCCCTTCAGGTATCTTCCATTAATCAAGGTAGTTTGTACTTTAGTATTGAGTTAATCTAAAATGTGGAAGTGCTCTTTTAATATGCCAATTTACCATCGCGATGCCCAAGTAAACTGACCTGTAAGAGTTAGCATGATACTAAGCTGTTTTATTTATAATGTTATTTATATTTTTAAGTCAGTTATGTGAAAGACGGATTGCCTTTTAGTCTTTTCAAAAGTAACCAACCCTTAACTGTCTATTTGTTATGCTTAAAATTAGACTTTTCGACTGTCGAATGGAAGGGTAAACAAGGACATTGTCTTCTCATCTGGCTAACTAATTTAGAAGTCGTTGAAAAAAAGGCAAAAGTCACAGGCAAAGCAAGTGAAAACAGAGAAAGATTAGTCATGAACATAAGATTCACATTAAGAGAACAATAAATATAGTATAGGCATTTGTATTTTACTTCAAACGTATCGTTATCTCCTGATGTTGATATGACATGCAGAAGAAAATAGCCTGGAAAATAAAACAGACAGAAAATGGCAATCTTCATCAGAGTATCCAGATATGATCGATTTTCTGTTTCATAACTTTACCCTGAATTGTGCCTATTTGAATGTATTTATATTCATTTCATAGAAGCACGAGTTATTCCATAAAGAGAATGGCACAATGAAAGGCATGAACAACTACTTTTTAAAGATAACAACATGGTAATTGTGCAGTATATAAATGCCACTTTGTTTTGTTGTCTTCCAGGTCAGGCCACAAGGCAGGTGAGGCACAATTCCACCGGCAATGTGAACTTCAACAAGAAGTACGGCAACATCCTGATGGTTTCTGGAGCCGGCTTCTGCGTGGTTGTGTGGTCATACGTAAGTTCTGGGATTCCAGTTATAGAACAGAAGCATTAAAACAAACTTAACTCAAATGAAATGAAATGGCTGAGAAGTTGCAAATATAAGAGATGTGTGCAAAGATCCTAACTTATTGGAATTTAATTTGCTTCATCATGCAAACAAATCACACCAGTTAGCCTACCTGTAAAGAATTTGCGTTTTGCAGCTCAGAAAGTAAATAGGTACATACAACTTGCTAACCACTGAAGGGCGAACACTGCGTGTTTATTTACTGACAAGTCTTACATTGCAATGGTATTTTATTACAATAAAAATACTTTAATATGCTCAGTTAGTTTTAACTTTGAATATAAAAATGTACTTGAGTTTTTTGTATTTAATTGTGTATGTTTTCCATTGACCAACCTCTGGTTTGGTTGTATCATTTTGATACAGAAACGTTTTCTTTATCTTACTTTTCGTGTGAACTTGCATTTACATTTTTTGACAAATGTGCACTGCAAAGTCATACATAGTCCAATAAAAGTGTGCCATTGCCCTTAAAACTTGTGTTGTCTTTGTGCAGGTGCTGACTCAGACTGGCATCACCTGGAATCTGTCACCCGTTGGGAAGGTCATGCCCGTAGCATGGAGAGAGGCAGAGGAGGAGGAGGAGTGAAGATCTGCCATGACAGACCTGCACCCCACCTAATAATAAACCTTCTCTTTGTACAGATGAATAACAGTAAATGTCTGTGTTTATTCCAACATGTTACTTTGTCCAAATAAATTAAATGTGATTCTACTGATCATTTCCCCAGGTGTTTTGTATGCCCAACCGGTTCTTGTGATGTGATATCTCAGAAATGCTTTTAGGGAATTTTTTTCAATTTGGCAAAAATGTATTTTTGGATTCAGGGGAAAACTAATTACAATGTGGTGAAAAGCGATCAAGGTCACTGTGGCCTCATAAAACCTGTTGAATGATTCATTTGTTAAATCTGACCATTCCACTCAAATGTCTAAGCATAAAATGAAGAAGTGATGATATTTAAGCTGCAGCCTGACCGGTTGACGGAGGCATACAACGTGATGATTGTAGTTATTTTTTAATCTATTATATATTACTGTTGTAAGCTCAAGCACTTCATAGGTTTTCTGTTTCCGCCGAGTTCAAATGTTATATTTTCACGTCATGATAGTGGTTACATCTTAAAACCTAAAGTCTTGCATCAAAATGTTAAGTACATAGTTACAAACATTTTAAGAGGAAATTAAAGCATCAAAGTAATAATTTAGCAGAATGGCTTCTTTTAAAGAGTTATATTATTAAAGAATACCATAACATTCTATATTTACCATTAAAGAATACATGTTCTTTAAAGTTGTTTTTCAAAGTGTTAATCATAATTGAGCCAATTGTAGATGCTTTCTCTAGTAGCCTACTAGGTAGATTAAAAATAATTCTGCATCGTATCATAAACATATCATGTTTAACTTAACAAGCAACTATGAACTAATTAAGTGAGAAATATAGTAGAAACATGAATTAGCAGAAAAGGTGCAGTGCTACAGTATTTGAGTACACTTCAACAGGATCGTTCTGGGAGCAACGTGGTTACGTCAGAGAACAAGCAGCAACCGTATCCAATGAAACAGCTCCTTTCCGCCACCTTTAACCAATCACAAGACGGGGGTGTAATCTATCACAGCCAATGGTAACCATGGATGTATAAAGAGAACCGCCCTGCCTCTTCTACTTCACGCGGTGTTAAGGTCACCGTCACTCGGTAGCTAACCAGTCGAAGGAAGCGGAGGAGACCCAGCTAAGGAAGGAGCAGAACCGGCAAAATACAAGAAACATGTCTCTCTCTACCAAACTCACCCTGGATAAGGTGGACGTCAAGGGGAAGCGTGTCATTATGAGGTTGGTTGCTACGTTACTGTCCTAACCGTCGCAACAAGCTAAACGGAAATGGGATTATTTGACGTTAGCTAAACCAGCTAACTGACAGTTTGGAGATTTTCCACTCCGCACATATATAATTCATGTGGTTACACGTTAGACTGTTTATATAATGGGGTTACACACGGTTTGGTGCTGCCACAGTGACACTGAATTAAGGGCTAATTTATTGGTGTCACGTTTTTTTTCATCCATACATTACGTGCCTGTGAGGAGATGCTGCATGGATGCAACCAACTGCTGTATCCGACATTAGTTAGTCAAGCCTTTAAAATCTATGCACACGAACATCACTGCAATTTCAACCATCATTTTATCCCACACTGCATAGATAACCTGAGGAAGTTCATTAGTCATGCAAGTATCAATATGTAATCTATTAGTCTATAAAACCTTCAAAGTCATTTTTGAAATTGTACCTAACTATAATACTTGAGTGTTAAGTGATACTTTCACCACTGAGTTGAAAGACTAATAGCCATTTAAACCAAGCACACATACTTAAATACACAAGTACAATTCGAGTTACTTGTACTTTACTTGAGTATCTCCCCAGGTTAAGATTGGAAATACAAAATATGACCAACAAACTATAATATTATATCAAAATACTGTAATGATCCATACAGGGGGATTCACAGCAGCAATGTAAAGGGATAATTATACTTAAGCATATTCTAATGCATGACTTTTATTCCACTGGTAGAAGTATTGTATTCTTATAAAAGTAACATCACTACTATATAACTATAGTGAAAGTCATGAAGGTAAAAACAATACTAGCATCAAAACATACCAAATGGGTCGAATTGTGGATAATTCTAAATAATCTGCATTGTAAAACTGGATAATAAATATTGATGCATTCCTGTGTTCACTTAAATGTTGCAGCTGGTAACGGTGGAGCTGCTTTTAATGACTTTATATTCATGTGTAATGCATTATAATTCTGTGATAGCTATTGCTGATGGAAGTTCACTTGAAACTGACACCCTCTGTGGAAATGTCAGAGGGCCACTTTGGTGTGCTCGGCTTGGTGATTGAACTACAGGCAGCATAGGACAAGGTTCACCGGTAGCAGCAGACCCCGGCCCACACTGCGCTGGTTAAAAGGTCCAATAAACTCCATGTTGAGCAAGTCTTGGTGTAAGAGACAATCATATACTTCATATCACCAGCGTTGTGCTGGTGCAAAATGTAAAAGAGGGAAGTTGCTGTAGAGACCTGCATTTCTTGCCAAAAATCTGTTCAGATGCCAAATTCAGTCGATACCATGAACTGACTTCCTCTAGAAGCATTGCACACGATAACCCTTCCTTCTTATTTACTAGTCAATAACAATACATTTTTTCTGTTGAAAGCTTAGACAAAATGCCTGTCATAGCCTACCGTTCTGCTACTGATAAAAAAAAGTTACTAAAGGTAACCAAGTGGAGATTATTAGTCCTAACTAGCCTTTCTACCCAATCACTAGTTAAAGTTTGTCATCACCTCACTAACTGATTAATAAAAAACAATTATGTTGATTTGGCTTATAAACTAGTCAACTTATCCTTGAAGCTTCAGTGATTTGTGTAAATGATGCTGAAAAACCTTTAATGAAATGCCAAATCATCCTCAAGAGCAACAGGTGAAATCGATTTACGAGCGGAAAACTACTGCAGTTGTTGTTGGATGGCACCGAGCTGCTGGGCTACTGAAGTGCTGACTCTGCTGTTTCTAAGCTAATACAAAGGAGTGTACGGTGGTGTGCGTTCAGACTGTGTATGTGTAGTTTATGTGCAGGGCAGGCAGATCATGTGTCTCATGGGTCTTCAGAGGGAGGGGGGGGGGATTACGTAACTGGCTGGAGGACGAGGGATGCAGCATGTTCTCACGAGCTCCCAGCATGCAGCACTGCACGGCTGTGTGCCACCGCCTCGTTGGCTACAGTTACACAAAGACCCCGATGCTTCATTAAAAAGTGTCTGAACGTATCTTTTGTAATGATTACCGAGTAATCCTACAGGAACCAGAATGCAATGCAGCAACACAACAAGTTTCTAGGGCTGTGTGTTTGCATTTCATTTTGTTTGAAGCCAGTATTTCTGAACATTTTCAGATAAAGATTAGGATACACAGATATTATTAGTTTGAGTGCCTTTCTTCCCTTAAAGGGGTTCATTTAAAGGGGACCTATCATGCAAAATGCACTTTTGTATGTCTTTTATACATGAATATGTGTCCCCGGTGTTCCAGGGAACTCACAAAGTGTCAGAAAACACAACCCTCTCTATTTTCCTCCATACCCAAATCTCTAAAAAAGGGGCTGCAACGGATCTGATAAAAACTGATCCAGATTTGAACACTGTCCTGACGTCAGGACAGTGGCGCTACGGCTATTGGGCCAACTCCACCAATCAGGAGGAGACAGCCACGGCCATTGCCGTTCGAAAGCGCTGGCGACGCTGTAGTACATATGCCAGGCCTGTAGGTGGTGCTGTTCTCACTGAATCTGCCCTTGCTAAAACAGATCTAAAAAATGTCAAATTGAGCAAAATGAGGCATGGCTAAAATGCATGATCTGTTTGGTATTTTGAAAAAAAAAAAAAGTATAAATATGCCTTTTATATAGGTATGGTCCTACACTATATTATTCAAATATAGCATGATAGGTCCACTTTAACTCAACATGAACATGACCTCCTTACTACACAGTTTAAAGTTGTCAGACATGATATGATAGTTTTTATAAAACGTTGGCTTTGATTGCGTTTCTTTTTAAATGAACCCCACTGTGCGCTGATTCTGTTTGACTACAGGTTTCCCAGAAAAGGAAATATGTGACAAAACGTTTGTAATGCCTCCACTCTTTCTCTGTCCATTTCTTTCTAGTAATGAAGTTTTCTTCTCTTTCAGGGTCGACTTCAATGTTCCCATGAAGGACAAGAAGATCACAAACAACCAGAGGTAAAGTCTGTCTGATTTCTGAAGAATGTAATCTGTTCCCAAAATAAATAAATCAGCGATTGCAGTTAGAATATTGCCCTTTTATCATTTTGACGAAGAGTTAATGCAACATCATTTATATTGTTAGCATAAAAATGTGTTTCTCTAAGGGAGACGGCAGAATGTTAATGTTTTTGATATTTTTACAGAATCAAGGCAGCCGTTCCCACCATCCAACACTGCCTGGACAATGGTGCCAAATCTGTGGTTCTGATGAGCCATCTGGGCCGCCCCGACGGGAACGCTATGCCGGAGAAATATTCCCTGGAGCCTGTCGGTGCCGAGCTCAAAACCCTGCTGGGGAGGTTAGTTTATAGACTTTGTGGTTGTGCTCGCTTAGTTGATAAACCATATCATGCAAAATGCACTTTTTTACGACTTTTTATACATAAATGTGTCCCTGGTGTGTCAGGGAACTCGCAAAGTGTCAGAAAACAAAACCCTCTCTTTTCCTCTGTACCCAAATCTCTAAAAACGGGGGAACAATAGAGCTGAAATAGAGGGGTATGAGGCATGGCTAGAATGGGTGATCTGTTGGTATTTTGAGCAAAACACTTCATAGACATGTTTTTTATATATCTGAGACTTATAATATATGCCTCAAAATAGCATGATAGGAGATCTTTAAAGGAATTCAAGTTACAATCTTTTATAATAAAGTATTTTTAGTCAGAAAGATGCGGAAAATGTTCAAATAATTAATAGGACAGGACATAACACACATCCTCCCTGTTCGCTTTGTGACTCTGCAGGGATGTCACCTTCCTGAAGGACTGTGTGGGAGCTGAGGTGGAGGCGGCCTGCGCTGACCCTGCCACCGGCTCCGTCATCCTGCTGGAGAACCTCCGCTTCCACGTGGCCGAGGAGGGGAAGGGCAAGGACGCCGCCGGAAACAAGGTGAGGCAGAATCCAGACGGAGCACAACAAAGAGGCAAAGTGACCTGTCGTGGCTTCCTTCCTTGTTTATCTATCAAGCCACTAGACGCCTTAAACAGACAAAAGAGGCCTTTACAATATTCAAAACAAATAGGCAAAACTCAAATAAAATAACAAACAACTTAGTTAACTTCTTGTTAAGGCTTATATAACTTAAAGGGTAATTGAACGGTTAAAAACTGTTCCTCAGCGGCGTCTTTTTAGCAGGTTGCCCATCACTGTCACTTTAGAGCAGGGGCCGTGGGAATTGTAGTCTTTTATAGTGTGTTGACTACAGACGTCACAATTAGGTGGCCTTTCTTATCAAACAAAATACTGGCTCTAACATATCGGTATTTCGATCTCTCTGTCTGTGCACACAAACTGAAAGAATAAAGTTGACTGAGGCTCTGGGAGACACACATTCCCTCACTGGTGTGTGGTATCTTTGCAAAAATAGAATATTTAATTTCCGCTTTACAAAATAAATATAAGTTTTATTTCATACATAACATATGGAAATGATAAAGAAAACATGTATATGTCAGTTGGATGGTTTTTGGTGCTATATCTTTGTGCTGTGCTGGGTCACCTGAAGGAACCGCACAGTCACTCCAGCTGCAGTGTCCGTCTGAAAAGCTGAGTCACCGTCTGATGATGTCATAGCCAGGAGTGGTGTAGGGACTGGTGGTGGTGGTGGTTGTTTCCGAAAAACATCCAATTTGTTAACAACTGCAGTGCACAATGTTTATTTAGGTTTTACAGCGCACAGTTGTAAAGAAAGGGAGTGCACTGGACTTTTAAAGTGAAATGAATCATCCAGCCCTATTTGATATGAAACTACAGAACCAGGCTCAGGACTGTCTTCACACATTTGAATAATGTTAGTCTGCCTCGTCGGATCAGCAGTTTGACCTCCTGACATTTCCCCTGAAGGTCAGTGGGGCAGCTTGTGTTGCTTTTCCTGTCCTGAGGCCTGTCTGGCATGTGGGACGGTTCCTACTGTACCGCTGTAATATCAGACTCGATTTGTAGCTCAATGTACAGACATTTCTCTGGGGCTGAAGTGATCTCAGAAAAGAATCGCATTTCCATATGAGAAGACTATAATGTGCAAGTGCACTAAATACAAGCTGGGTGTCGTTTCTAACTGAGCTTCGGAGGGAAAAATTGAAACGCAGCAGTCATCTGTATTAACTGTATAGTCTGAAGGAGGAACTGTAGCGTTCAGCACTCGTCTGACATTTGAACGACACTGAGGAGCTCTGGTGACCTTATTTCTGCCCTCTTCTCACACAGTCACGACCTTCAACTGTTAAGTGCAGCAGGAACCTGATCCACAATGACTGACTCTCACAGACACACACAGCCAGTCAACAATGTTTTGAATGGAAATATTGTTTTATTTGATGATGTAAAGCGGAACACAATGCTAAATGGAATTGTCTTTTTATGGCGCCTTGCTAGTCTTTGTCTCCCGTTGTCATTGTTTTCCATTACTTATCAAGTAGCAACATGTCCCCCGTGAAACATAAACAGAGCAACTGCCTCTTAAAAAAAATGATACATTCCTCTAGAAAATAAACTGAGTTTGCTCCTGGATTATTCTTGCACTTTTAACCACGTTGTGTTTGTTTGCACCAAGGGTATTGACATGATCCTTTAGAAAATGCTGCTTTGTTGTGTGGTAATGATTGTTTAGGACACCACGCTGAACAGATGCATGTTAAAGGATCACAGATATCACTACATGCTAAATCTTCTTCTCTCACTCTCCCCTCTGTTAGACGAAGGCCTCTCAGGCAGACATCGACTCCTTCAGGGCGTCTCTGTCCAAACTGGGAGACGTTTACGTGAACGACGCCTTCGGGACAGCTCACAGAGGCCACAGGTGAGCAGGGTGCCGATTAATGGAGGAGTGACATCAGTGATGATATGATGTTGATATCCCCGGCTCCTCTTCCTCCTCTCACAGCTCCATGGTGGGAGTGAACCTTCCTCAGAAGGCGGCCGGCTTCCTGATGAAGAAGGAGCTGGACTACTTTGCCATGGCTCTGGAGAAACCTCAGAGGCCCTTCCTGGCCATCCTCGGAGGGTGAGAACACTTCATAGCAACCACTGATGAAGTTATCAAGAATCGAGGCTTTTATTGTCATGTATTTTATTTGTTTATTCCACACCTGGCAGTTATTTTAAAACAAAACATGTACACTTATACTGGTTGTTTTTTTTATAGCGCAGGGAGGAGAATATCTTATTTTACCTGCCCCTTCTTACAAACAAACATTTTTTTAAATAACCATAAAAAAGTAAAATAAAAGCAATATTCTTTCAGTTGCTTACAAATACTGAAACATAAAACCCGACTACAATCAAAAGTCAACTTCATACTTTCTAATTACACTTTCTTTATACATTTTCTTAAACATAAAAATGTTCTTACAGCTCTTTAAATCATTCGGCAAAGAATTCCACTTCTTTACGCCAAGAGACACATCTGCTTTAAAGTAGCACATGTGCATAGCTACAGTGTAGTTATGACAATGACACTCTTGGGTCACATGCCACTCCAACAGTGCAACACAATAAAACAGATAATAGTGCAAGTAAATACAATAAAATAGAATATAATAGAAATTGTGCAGTTAAACGTATTTGTGGGCATTTAGACTAACACACCAAATTAAAACTCACTAGTTGGATTCCTGCTGACAAAATAAGCATTACGACCTTATACAATACCAGTTTTTATTCTATGTACTATTGATTTTTAAAATCAATTATCTGTCAGTGTTGTCCGTTCTTCCGCTCCTGTGTTTGGATATCATCTCACAGCAGCCTCTCAACCTGGCGGCCTCCAGGAATAGAGACTATAAGCTCATAATGTGATCTGGTTTCACAGAACAGCTGCTTTCTGCTTTACACCGCTCACAGTTTAGTGAGAAGATGGTGTGCAGGCAGGGATGAGAGCGTATACCCTGTGTTTAGTCATGTTGATTATTAGTGTCTGAAAAATGATGTGAAAATAGTGCTACACATTAATTTACGAATATTTTCAGGGTTTGTTGATGTAGTCACTCACTTTTGAGGCATTCCATAATTGTTTTCCATTAGCCCATTTCAACTCAATTATTTAACAGAAGTTTTTTTCATATTAAAATACAAATTGTATACACACAAACTACAGCCACAGTCACCAAAACTGATTGATTTCCTTAAAGGAATGAATCTTAAATCATCCTGTTTTGCAGTTTCAGTGACAGAATTTAACATTACATGTTACTTGTTAGATGCTTTTATCCAAAGCGACTTACATACTCAATACTGTGGGCAATCCCCACAGGAGCAATTTGGGGTGAAGTGTCTCAGGGACACAACGACATGCAGTGGGGTTTGAACCTGTGCTCCCCTGATCCAAGCACCAACGCACTATTCCACTGCACCACACGCCTCCTAATATTCTTTATGCTTCTATATTCCCTTATGAGGAGGTTGGAGGTTATTACCAAAGATGAACAAGAAGAAACATTTTTTTATTTAAAATAAGCCACAAAATGCAGGCACCTTTTTAAAATATGTGTAGTTTCTTTGTCTCTGTTGTGCTACGGGTGTTTTAGTTATTTTCCCAGATTTATCCTAGTTTTAGCACCACAGTCTGAGTTCAGTTTCACCGAGCTGCTGGTGCTTCATGTTGCTTTTGTCTTTGTGTCGGAGTCCATTTTAGACCCGAGTGCATTGTGTAACTGTGGCTGCTGCTCAGCGTAGAGCCGCGCTGCCTCCTCTAGGTCACACACAGGACGCTGATTATTAGTGCGATCAGCATCAGGAACAGCTGCAGAGTTACAGATAGATTTTGTGTTTAAGAGTTGTTATTGTTATGATTGGTAAGAAGTGGGTCTGAATAAATAAAAACACATTTTTTAATTAAAAAAGAATGATGTTGTATGACCCAGGACAGTCAGTTAAAGTGAGACAAGGCGGCAGGAGCAATCTTATTTTTTGATACGGCCATACGGTATAGCGCTGCAACAATTAATCAATTATTGCATGAGTCATAAATAATGGAGTTATTTTTCTTTTCAAATTCACTAGTTCAAGCTAAAAAAAATAAGGAACCAAAAATAAATACATTTCCTAAACTATTCAAACCCAGCTCAAACATGTTGTTTAAATATGTAACAAGTTTATACTGCATGTATGTTTCAGTGTTGCTCACCATGCTTGTTTCTTATCTGTTCTGATGTTCGCCGCCTCTCTGCGTTTCAGAGCGAAGGTGAAAGATAAGATCCAGTTGATCAACAACATGTTGGATAAAGTCGACGAGATGATCATCGGAGGAGGCATGGCCTTCACCTTCCTCAAAGTGCTCAACAACATGGAGGTGAGGAAGACTAAAACTAACAGTGACATATCCCTGCAGTAAAGTGCTTCATTGCTCATCCACTACCGTGCTGCAAAAATAACATATATGTACAATTGGAAAAAATATATATAACAAAGATTATGTGTGAAGGAAAATGGTAAATGTAGTGCATTTACTAAATAGACATGTTCCAAACCCAAGTCATGTAGTTCGATAGACGTCTTTCACAAACAAGTCATTTGCAGATTTAGTTATTACACTGTTTTTTTTTTTTTTAAAGCTAGTGTAAATATGTTTTGAATCGGGGGAATCCTTTCTTTTTGCTGTCACAGAGTAAAATAGTATTTTGAATGTGCCCTGTATGACTGAAGAAACATCAGTGTGTCATTTCAGGTGTTTCTCAAGTTGGATTTCCTCACCACTTTGTGCTCAACGTTCTGCTTCAAACAGACTTGTCAAACTGATTTTGTTAGTTTCACAGCAGAGATTGAGAATCACGTCAATGACCCTAATTGGTCTTAAAAGTCTTACATTTGATAATCTGAATTTAAGCACTTAAAAAGGTCTTAAATATGATCAATAAGGAAGGTCTTAAATATGATATGATTTAGAAGGTCTTGAAAATGATGGGATTTGAAAGGTACTTCTGTGTAGCGATCGAGTCTAAATGTGTTTTGGGGGAAATGTCCGGGCTGCAAAGTAACCAGTACGGTAAGAGCCTTTCAGTTCCCCCCCCAACAATTTGCATTGAAATAAATCAACATGGAACCAGTAATCACTAACTTTGCTTCCCCCGGCCCCTTATCGGAGAACACCCAGCTAGTAACCTAGCAACCAAGCTTCAGCTAGCGGCAGTCAGAAACTAAGGTATCTTAGAGTCTACTCACAAACAAATATGGGGAAGTGTAAGTTCAACCGCATTTGGTTGGAAAACATCGAATTTAGTGCTTGGTTGAAACCAGTGGAGGGGAACGTGTTTGAAGCCCGCTGCACCTTTTGCAAACAAAATTAGCGTTTGTTTTGCTAATGCAGCGTTAGCTAGTGCAGCTACTCCGCAACAACACCGGGTGACCTCCGGGCGACGTTTGGGTCTACGTCAACCCTAAAAGCGGAGGTGCTATGGACGCTAAATACCGTAGCTAAACACCAATCATACAACAGCATGAAGGCAGCAGAGCTCTGACTATAGCTCTTGTCACTCACACACACACTTTTTGTTTAACAGGCTAACACTGGTCTGGTTACTGTCATCGTTCTCATGTTGAACATGAATACATTTACTTTGCAAGTAATTATGGGACGTATTTCTTTCCTAGCAATTTTCCTTCATATTTTCTTGCCGTGAAATAGGTCTTAAATTCTATTCAAAGTGGTCTTAAAAAGTCTTACATTTGAGTTGGTGAAACCTGCAGGAACCCTGTATATACCTATAGATCTTGCCTGAGAATGATTGCATACGTAATATTTTGAAGCTGTTAAATCAGACTCACTTTACACCTCATCCTTCCAAAATATAATTAATCATGCTAACATTTGAGCTCTCCAATAAAGATATTTAGCTTCTAGATGACAAGAAATAACACCCGCCACTGCATCAGGCCGTTGTGTCCTTGAGCAAGACACTTCACCCTAATTTGCTTCTATGGGTATTGGCCACAATATTCACTGTTACATGTCCAATATGTAATGTAAAGCGCTTTGAGCACTTGGAAAAGCGCTCTGATAAATGTAAGAATTATTATTAATATATAACATTTCCTTGCCTCTCTCTCATCAGATCGGCACCTCCTTGTTCGATGAGGAGGGGGCTGGCATCGTTAAGGACCTGATGGCCAAAGCAGAGAAGAACGGAGTGAAGATCACTCTGCCCGTCGACTTCATCACCGCAGAAAAGTTTGACGAGAAAGCAGCAACCGGCTCCGCCACCGTCGCTGCTGGCATCCCCGCCGGCTGGATGGTGAGGAGACTTCCTTTTGATCGTTCAGTTATTTCTGCTTCTGTATTAAAGGTTCCCTATTATACTGTTTTTAATCAATATATTACAGGTCTCAGATATATATATAAAACATGTCTCTGAAGTGTTTGGCTCCAAACACCAATCAGATCATTGCAGCATCCCATAATCCCCTCTGTTTCAGCCCTGTTTCCAAAGTGCTGATTCTCTGTCTGTTACTTTAGATGAAAATAAGGAGCCCCTCCCCACGCCCCTCTGAGAGATATTTGGTTAAAAAGAACTCAATGGTGCTCTAGGAGGAGATTCAGGTGATAAGGTGGGGGGGGGGTTTACCTTGGTTGCTGATTGGCTAATGGTTACACAAGCCAAAACATCGTTATGACGACATAAAGTGGCCAAAATCTGATCAGCTCATTTTCAGACAGGTTTTTATATAAATGGATCGGGACAAAAAGAGAGATGATCTTTTGTCCTGAAACTTTCAGAGTCTCTTTACACAGAGGGGACACATGGTGATGTAGAGGAGGATTTTGCATAATAGGTGACCTTTTTAAATATAACCCCTCCTCAGGGTCTGGACTGTGGACCGGAGAGCATTAAGACCAACTCTGAGGTGGTGGGCCGGGCAAAGCAGATCGTGTGGAACGGCCCCGTCGGCGTGTTCGAGTTTGACAACTTCGCCAAGGGCACCAAGAGCATGATGGACAAAGTGGTGGAGGTCACCAAGTCCGGCTGCGTCACAATCATCGGTAAGAGAGACGGCGTCCATTTGTTTTCAGCAGTGTCGTCATTCAGTGTGCATGACAATCTAAATCTTTGGTTAAAGAAAAAGGGATTTCATAAGAAACGATACTTTGATACCAAGTTGCTGCCACCTTTCTGAAAATGTGTTCTTTTTTGTCTTTTCCCCTGATTGTGCTACATCATGAACAACACGTGTATTTTAAAATTGGCAAATGGAGAGCTAGTTATTGTAAGCTGTTAGCAGACAGTGAGCAGAGTTTACATGGAGTTGTATTGTGGTACATTTATTCTCGGTTTATAAAAAAAAAAATAGTACTTGACAACAGTTAAGAATTACATTATCATGATGTGTTTAATGTCATCACGTAAAAGGTCATTTTTAGCAACACAATTGAATAAATACAGCTTTCACAACAATATAATTAGAGCAAGAATTATTACCTATTGAACTCCTGAAGCCATATTAATAAATGATTCGATGAAGTCCTGCTTTATGGGATTTGCTAATACACAAATGTGCAATAAAGATAATTAGTGCACGGAAATATTCCTTACCCATTTGGAATTGACATACCACATGACTTGCTCTTAAAATGTTATATTGTACATGCATATCAAAATGCCAGCCAACCACGAACAAGCCTGAGCTTGAAATATACTGTAAACCCAACCTGAGGTCAATTTGAATATGTTTGGTAAACCTATAAATGACATTTGATCTGTGTTTGTGTTTAGGGGGGGGGTGACACCGCCACCTGCTGCGCCAAGTGGAACACAGAGGACAAAGTCAGCCACGTGAGCACCGGGGGCGGAGCCAGCCTGGAGCTGCTGGAGGGTGAGAGACGGAAACACAAACAGTGACATCTTGCTTTATTGACATGTTTCATAAAACAATTTTATTCTTGTTAGAAAAATATCACTGGTCACCGGCTTGATCTTCAACCTCAGGATCCATGTGTTTCTGATCCTCTCAAGAATGGAAGTAGTCATCACATACAGAGCATCAACTAGTTCCTGAACAGTGTCCTTCACATGCTGATATCCAAGAGAGGGAGTTACAGTCACAAGATGGAGGAATACCGGTTCATCTAGTAATCATACATCCTGCCATGTACAAAATACTGAGTTTTTTTTCTCAATGTAGGCCTTTTTCTGAAAATCAAAAAATTCTGTCTTTTTCTCAAAATCAAAAAATTCTGTCTTTTTCAAAAAGAATCTGACTTTTTCAAAAGATTCAAAAATTATGACTCATAATTTTGACTTTTTCTCAAAATCTAAAATTCTGACTTTCTCATAATTTTGACTTTTTCTCAAAATCAAAAATTCTGACTCATAATTTTTACTTTTTCTCAAAATCTAAAATTCTGACTTTCTGAATACTGTTAATATCACTAATCACCGGCTTGAGCTTAAATATCAATAACGGTGTCCTTCACATGCTGATATCCAAGAGAGGGAGTTACACAGTCACAAGATGGAGGAATATAAAGCAGTATTCAATGTTTAGTTCAGATTAGCTCCACGTCAGAAATGATCATGCTTGTCACATGTCTCTCTCCATAGAGGCTGAATCATCATGTTAATCACATAGCTATCATATGCCTAAAACAGTCCTGATGCTCTTCTAGGTAATCATACATCCTGCCATGTACACAGCTACAGTTGGGATACCTTTGTTATCATGTGCTACTCTCATATTGGAAGAGTGCATTCAGTATTTTCCCAACAATTTTCTAAATATTTGTGGGTTTATTTCCTTTTTACTGCTGTTTTTGTTTGTTGTGTCGCTTGTTCATGACTGTGTTTTTGCTTCCTCTCTTTCAGGGAAAGTCCTGCCCGGCGTGGACGCACTGAGCAGCGCCTAAACTTCCCATCAGCCTGTTGGTGTGTGCGTGAATGTGTGTGGAAGTGCTTGTGAGAGGTGTGTGTGTGTGTGTATCTACTCCTGAAATTCCCTCAAAACAAACGCCGCTTCACCAGCTATTAAATCTTCTATTCCATCTTTTTTTTAAAGAAAAAGCAGAGATTTATTCTGCCTTACTTCACCTCACTGAGGAAACGATAGATCTTGGCTTGTTGAAGTGGAACTAGTTTATTTTCTCAGATAATCATGTCCTGCTGAATTTAACGGTTGTTGCTGTCGCCTGAATCTGTTCAATCTGGGCGTTAACCCCCAAAATACTTAAGCATTGCTCCTGTGTGAATGCTGCGTCACTTTTGCATAGCCAACCATGGAAAACGTCACTTTACCACCCTGTGTGTGTGTATACATAAAGTATATATAAGAATTATGTGATGTGTATGTAGACGTTGTGTCTTTAAATCTGGTCGTTGGTTTCTGAGTGACTTCATCTGATCTGCTCAGATTAATAAAACAGTGTGAAAACGTTCCTGTCTGATTCTTCATTGTAAGGACGTGTCGTCGTGATCAGAACTCAAGTCCATGATAGCACAGGTTAAAATATAAAATCGTTTTCATTTAAGACTATCATCCATCACCTCGTAAAACTCAGTTATTGTTTTACTCCGCTACGTGTACCTAGCAGCTTTAGTTACTTCACAAATGTTGATTTTAGCACACAAAAGTATTAAGTGTTCAGCTGGTTGATATATTCTCCTGCATGTGTGACTTTTAACGTGAAATCCTTAATTTCTCTATTAGAAATGACTGTGGCGATCACAAACTTGTACAAATGTTCTAATATTAATAGAGATACAAATCAGAGACAGAAGTCAACTAAAGTTGGAAAGGAATTCTGCTGATAAACTTCTCTTATCTTTACATCACTTTGATAAATAAGGAAGAAACCAATCCTATGGGTTTGATCTCTAACCCTGTTGTGAGTTATACATAATGCTTGATCTGTCACCTTTCATGCAAAACACTTATTTTAAATTAGCTCCATAAACATCCAGAGCTTTCTTTAACCCTAATGTTATTCAGTGTTTAATTTTAAGTGAAATCAAATGTGATAAAAGATTTGACTCTAGGTTTGTGAGTAGCAGTAACAGTTATTCACGTCATTCACTTTTGAAAACACTTGCTGAAAGTTCACAACTAATATTTTAAAATGTTGACTCTAGAAAGCACCTAAATATTTAAGAATACCAACAAGAAAACATGTCTTACTCCCCGTTTTGTAATTATATTATAACATATTTTTCACCTGTAGATGGCAGCCAAGCTCCATGAGCGTTTATTCACACAGCTGTCTCCATCATTAACACATGACACGGAGCAGGAACACAAACACTTTAAAAAATAATAATTTTACTTTGAATTTAACTCAAAGAGGTCAGGGTGCAGGAACATCTTCTCTGCGGTCAGTCGTTCTCATTCACGTAATCTGGCTCATCTGTAAGAAAAGAAAATGACTGTTTCAATATGTGTACTCTACTCGATTTCCCAGGAGCGATGCAACCTATTCAAATATTTCTCATTTTAAAAAATACCACTGAGATGCTATATTCTGTCAGGGAGTCCAGGGGAAAATGGAAAGCAAAGAAATTAAAAGTTTCAAATAGACGCACAAATTAGACAAAAAATATACACAAAGACGAGATGGCATCACAATTCTATAAGATTAAGAACAAATTTACGAACATACCAGCAGGTTAAACACGGTTAAAAGAATCTATGACCACCTACATTTCTCTTATTTTCTAACAACTCCAAAACCCAAAGATATTTACTTTACAGAGGGTGAAACGGATAGCAGCAACACTTGACATTTCGGAGGGTGGAATGAAAGGACCTTTTGATTTTTTTTACTCAAAATAGGACTTAAAACAATTAAAGGTAGGGTAGGTAAGAATGGAGAAACCAGGGTTGCGTTCGAATACTCCAAAAAAACAGCTCCTAAGTTCTAACCCTATCGTCTATTCCTTGACCTCGGAGTGAAACGTCATGGGGTTAAGGGATAGTGGATAGGAGAATTCAAAAGGATTTAGGAGAAGAGACTGCGGCACTTTAGAGAATCCGACTGCACTTTCACTATCCGACGTGTTTATGATGCGCCATCGGAGGTCATAAATGTGCGTCTGCTGCTGTGGGGAAACTATGGAAACTACAGTTTTCTATACAGCGGACTACAACATGGATGTTTAATAAGAACGAGGGACTACTGTAAACTCATCTAGAGACTCTGCACCGTGCTCTGATGCTGTTGTTTTATGCTTTATGAACAGGGACAACAGAGAAACATATTCTTCATGACCAAAGTTGGAATTTAAATAAAAAAGGAAAGTGAAACTTATGCTCGTCACCCTCTCCCTCCGGTCCACATTAATACAAATGATCCCAATACGTATGATTGTATGAAAAGATCTTAAAATCAATACAAATGTATTTATTATAAACGTTAGTCCTTAACATCTATCACTGTGTATATCACCATTCAAACATCTTTTAAAAGTTGAACAAACCCCACACAGCTCAGTAAAGACTGTGAAATGTTTGACTTTATTTGATCATTTCAGTAAAAACTAACGTTCATATTTCTCTTTTTGATTATAATACTGATGAACGTTCAAAACAAAGCACTTTGGCAACTTACCACATACGTTTTAAATTGCTTAATAAGCACCGTAACTTTATACCGATATCATTTCTCGTTCATAATCGGTTGTTTCCGTGAACGGCCGACTGTTGTGTGACGGCAAATGCTGCGGCCGCAAGGCATTGTGGGGCAGCATTTTCTCCTCTCCTTTCGGTTAGGGAGGTCCAGTGGTTCCTAGGCTAAAGGAGGTTATAAAGGAAGTTTGAAACCTCCTTTCCTTTTAATTTAGAGAATTCGAACGGCACTTATCATGGCTGCCACTGAGGGACTTCCGGGTCATTTCACTCCGTTAGGAAGGTTCCTAAGCTAAATGGACTATTCGAATGCAACCCTGCTCGAGATCGCTAGAATTTGAAAGTACACAACCGGAAAAAATCTGCCTCTTCCTTCAGACTTCCTTACAGAGCCCCTCCTCCAACACACACACGAACGCGCACATGACCAATGAGGGCACGAGATAAATTTGTGCACGAGATGGAAGGCTGACAGGCAGGTAGGCCATCCAGTTATTTTAGCCGGGCCGGCTCAGATGATTGGTCGTGCTTTTTACAGTACCACGGCTTCCACAGATGACGGTTTTTTATGTATTTATTGTCAAAGCATTTAATGTATTCATTGCTATCGGGATGTTAAGAGCATTCCATGGAATATAACAAAAAGTGTTTCTGAAGTGGATTACCTACCCTACCTTTAATCAACTATCAGAATAGGTGCTTTTTTTCCTGTCCTGATACACTCTGTTGTGATTGGTCAACCGCTTAGAGATGTCCCGCCCCTTAGCCTTTCAGTACAATGTGTTGGATAATAAATACATATCAGTGATAGCACTCACTGTCTTCTTCCTCCTCCACAATTTTGTCCAGAAAATCAGAGTTCTCGTAGTCGTCCTCATCTGTTTAATAAAAATAAGATAAAACAAGTTGAGAGTTTTTATTTTGTATCTGTTGTATTATTCCGACTCAATGATTGAACTGACCCTCTTTAATCGGCAGTGATGAGATGACGTTGGCGTAAACAGCTGGATTCTGATCTATAACAATAATGTAAGAAATGTTAAATCAATAATGCTAAACGTATCAAAAGTATTTCAATGTATTTGAGGCCAAAGTGAAGTATGAAGTAAAAATGCTCACCAGTTATTCTTTCTTTAGTCAGTTCGTTTATGTAAGCTGACATCGGGAGTGGAGCTCTATACAAACATGTAAAATATGACGTGTTTTAACCTTTTTTTCTTTTACTAAAACAATGGATATTTAAAAGGTTGCATAATTAACATAATACATCGTTTATTAGAACATACTAGATCCGTCATACCTAAGTTTGTTAAAGTTTAGGTACAAAACACATGTATTTATTTATCTCATTTTCGACAATTTATGAATTATACTTTCTATAAAAAATACACTTATATTTGTATTGGAAGTAAAAGAGATTCTACGATAGGTGATCTTAAAAAGTATTAACAATACCAATATTACTAGCAAAATATTCTTAAAAAATGAAATTACTTATGCAAAATGTCCTTTTTCAGCATTAATACAAGTTCCTAAAAGACTCTCCTCTTGTATTTTATTCCAATTAAAAACCGGCTGGGTGATTACATTCTGACAATTGAAAATAATAATAATAGTATATATATACAAAATGTATAAAAAGATTAACGCTTTAAGACATTAAGACTTAAAATAAATCTGCATATTCTTGGTTCAGAAAGGTCTCTTCTCTTCTGACGCAGACTTTAAAGAGGACCTATTATGCTATATTGGGAAAATATATTGTAGGGCCATACCTATACAAAACATGTCTGTGAAGGTTTTTGCTTAAAATAGCAAACGGATCACCCGTTGCCATGCCTCATACTGCTCATACTCCTCCATTCTAGCCCGTTAGAGAAACGCGAATTTTGGGTCCTCAGCTTGAAAAAGAAAAAAAGAGGAGGCGGAGCTAATGCCTGATCAGAATTCTACCGGAGATAAAGTTAAATTCTGCTGTGATAAAACACCATCCTGTTCTAAACCACATCAAGGATTATTTCTGAAATAGTATAGAGCTCAAATGCTTTTTCTCTTGCGGGTTTACCACAAGGTGAGTTCCTTTTTTTATTTCCTGCTTTTTAAACACATGTGCTCTACACAGTACAGGTTAGCTCTGAGTGTTAGCGAGGCTTGCTAATGTAAACAAAAACGAGATTACGTCCAAAACACGTCAGGCATTGTTTCTGATAGCAACTTTCTGTGGGTCCGCCGCCGATTTGACGTCATATCGACAGCAAATCTGTATGCGCTTGTGGTACCCCCGTTTTTTTAAAGATTTGGGTACGGAGGAAAAGAGAAAGGGTTTTATTTTCTGATGCTGTGTGAGTTTCCCGACACACCGGGGACACACGTTTATATCAAAAAGTGCATTTTGCATGATAGGTCCCCTTTAAATATTTTCATTAAAAAAATTAAATGCTTCCATTAATTGCTTTGTACAGTTTTTCTCAGAAATACAAAGGATAAAAAGTTAAACTTACACATATGTGTGTTCTGGATTTCCGGTTTGAGCTGTAGCGACAGTAGGGATGAACATATGTGAAAATGCAAACACTTAATAAGTATAATGATATCTACAGTATGTTTTAAATAGTGTGTGTTCTCACCATCCGAGACATTTTGATAGTCTGACTGCTCGTCATTTGCAGCTGTAAGACATTGTCGTTATAATTTAACTTCCACTGTTAGTGTGCATTGACATCTTTAGCATGAGAAAAATATGGTACCTGTTGAAAAGTCCTCAAAGTCCTCTTGAGTTTCTCTAAAAAAACAAATCAAATGATTATTTTATTTTTT